TTCTCCAAGACAGAGGTTCTTTGCAAGCCATCTGGCTACCATGAGAGATTCGTTCATGAGGCTATCCACATATACAAACACAGAGAAAATTTCAACCGAGAAGATGGATTCTGGCTTAGCAATCATTGGAAGGATTTGATAAACCATTTCGGGTCTTAATTGAGTGATCACGCTTAAGGTGGCTTTCAGACCGCATCCATTATTTTTCGTCTCCCGCCTCCTCTTTTCGAACATAGATGGACTCGTCCATCTGAACAAACTGTCAAATCGCTCTCCGTGGTGCTAACGTTAAAAATAACCGCCACTTTTTCAAATTTTCTTGTTGTGGTTTTCACACCTGATGATGATTGCTTGTGTTGCAGTCGAAACGTCGTGAGAATTTTGTTTTATATTTTTATTATTTTATTGTTTCCCTTCTACGTGACTTTACCGAAAGAACCAAGAATATGAATCCCTGCAGTCACGAAAGCTTTAAATCAAAATGTAATGGTGTGGATGTTGAACTTATTTTGCACCCTAGGTAGGCAACCGTGTGAACCGGATGTGTGGGGAAAGGACAACACACCGATCACTCACTCACCTTCTCACTTACTCACCCACTCCCATACTCAATCACCCACTCACCTACTCACACATTTACCCACTCAACCACCCATCCACTTACCCACCCACCCTATGTATGTATGTATGTACGTTGAACTTCTTTTGTACCGTACGTAGCCAACCGTGCGGGGGGAGGACAACAAATGCGTCGACTAGGCGAGCGCCGTTACATTGTTGCAGGTGTCCTTACGCTTTCCTACTGGAGAAGACACCAGAGCGATGGAATTTTTAGTTGTCCATCTGAGCAGGAAGTGACATGCCCGCGTTTCACAAACAGCAGTGTAAATGCAGAAGTACGTGTGGGTGGAAGTGGTCGCTGTGGCTTGTGATGCCAATTCTGAGAAATGCAAGACAGGGCTTCCAACAGTTATAGGAAAAGTCAGGGTCGCTTTTTTTTACCAAGTGCGGAAACTTCTGGTTTGCAAGTGGATTTTTTTTCGATAAAGAAAATAAAAATAAAATCTAACTACAGTGAGGAAAAAACGTATTTGATCCCCTGCTGATTTTGTACGTTTGCCCACTGACAAAGAAATGATCAGTCTATAATTTTATTGGTAGGTTTATTTGAACAGTGAGAGACAGAATAACAACAAGAAAATCTAGAAAAACGCATGTCAACATTTTTATAAATTGATTTGCATTTTAATGAGGGAAATAAGTATTTGACCCCCTCTCAATCAGAAAGATTTCTGGCTCCCAGGTGTCTTTTTTACAGGTAACGAGCTGAGATTAGGAGCACACTCTTAAAGGCAGTGCTCCTAATCTCAGCTTCTTACCTGTATAAAAGGCACCTGTCCACAGAAGCAATCAATCAATCAGATTCCAAACTCTCCACCATGGCCAAGACCAAAGAGCTCTCCAAGGATGTCAGGGACAAGATTGTAGACCTACATAAGGCTGGAATGGGCTACAAGACCTCTTTCCCGAACATAGATGGACTCGTCAATCTGAACGAACTGTCAAACCGCTCTCCGTGATGCTAACGTTAAAAATAACCGCCACTTTTTTCAAATTTTCTTGCTGTGGTTTTCACACCTGATGATGATTGCTTGTGTTGCAGTCGAAACGTAGTGAGAATTGTATAGTTTTATATTTTTATTATTTTATTGTTTCCCTTCTATGTGACTTTACCGAAAGAACCAAGAATATAAGGTGACAACAGTTGGTGCGATTATTCGCAAATGGAAGAAACAGAAAATAACTGTCAATCTCCCTCGGCCTGGGGCTCCATGCAAGATCTCACCTCGTGGAGTTGCAATGATCATGAGAACGGTGAGGAATCAGCCCCGAACTACACGGGAGGATCTTGTCAATGATCTCAAGGCTGCTGGGACCATAGTCACCAAGAAAACAATTGGTAACACACTACGCCGTGAAGAACTGAAATCCTGCAGCGCCCGCAAGGTCCCCCTGCTCAAGAAAGCACATATACATGCCCGTCTGAAGTTTGCCAATGAACATCTGAATTATTCAGAGGACAACTGGGTGAAAGTGTTGTGGTCAGATGAGACCAAAATGGAGCTCTTTGGCATCAACTCAACTCGCCGTATTTGGAGGAGGAATGCCATCCCTACCGTCAAACATGGAGGTGGAAACATTATGCTTTGGGGGTGTTTTTCTGCTAAGGGGACAGGACAACTTCACCGCATCAAAGGGACGATGGACGGGGCCATGTACCGTTAAATCTTGGGTGAGAACCTCCTCCCCTCAGCCAGGGCATTGAAAATGGGTTGTGGATGGGTATTCCAGCATGACAATGACCCAAAACACACAGCCAAGGCAACAAAGGAGTGGCTCAAGAAGAAGCACATTAAGGTTTTGGAGTGGCCTAGCCAGTCTCCAGACCTTAATCCCATAGAAAATCTGTGGAGGGAGCTGAAAGTTCGAGTTGCCAAACGTCAGCCTCGAAACCTTAACGACTTGGAGATCTGCAAAGAGGAGTGGGACAAAATCCCTCCTGAGATGTGTGCAAACCTGGTGGCCAACCACAGGAAACGTCTGACCTCTGTGATTGCCAACAAGGTGTTTCCACCAAGTACTAAGTCATGTTTTGCAGAGGGGTCAAATACTTATTTCCCTCATTAAAATGCAAATCAATTCATAAAAAAATTTGACATGCGTTTTTCTGGATTTTATTGTTGTTATTCTATCTCTCACTGTTGAAATAAACCTACCATTAAAATTATAGACTGATTATTTCTTTGTCAGTGGGCAAACGTACAAAATCAGCAGGGGATCAAATACTTTTTCCCTCACTGTACGAGTAAGTTTAAAAACATAACTAGATATGTGCCGTAACTAGATTGCTTGTGAAATACTAGTAAACACAACGGCAATATACGAAGAGCCAGTACAGTATTGGCAGGATTTTGCAAGGGTTTCAAACCAACACAATAAAAAAAATCACATTGTAATCTCATTTTCAAAGAATGGTGCAAATTGTCCACGTAAAAATAAACCTTTCAGGAGTTGTCTTCAACTCTGCTTCTTATGGAACGACTCCCCAATTTGAGCAGGCATCAAAGAAGAGGAGAATGCTTGATTCATAGTTAGCCGAACCACAGAGGCCTCAATTACTCAATATGAAAGCCATTGCCATGGCTCACAAGTCCATGTGTGATAATGGACAATGTAAGTCATTGATCTAAAGGCGTCATCCACAGCTGAGCCATCGGTCGCGCAACCACATCCCTCCCGAAAATGCACAACTTCATCATTGCCAGCTGATATAGCCAGGTGGTGGTGGCTATGCACATGGCCTATAATCCAATACTGTGGAGACTAGGGTTGGTGGATAGCACAAATGTAAACTCCCTTCCCGTCGGCATCAATGTGCCATACCCTGTTAAGAGGTTTCTTGGGTTGAATTGCATAAGTATAAATGTGTCATTAAACCCGCCACCACCCGACACATCTAATTAGCAAGATTGCGTATGTTGTGGGTTTGCTCTCCCAACACACCGGTGTGCTGAACTAGTAACTAATGGGCATGTTTTGTTTAAGTGACAAACCTTGCTAATTGGCCGTTATGGGTGATGGCGGGTTTAAGAATACATTTGTATTTATGTTGTGTAAACCAAAAAACCTCTATTATAGATATTTGTCACAAAAGCCTACATGTTAAACTGCCATCCCTGGCTTTCGAGAATTCAGAACAGACCTGTTTCCATCTGTATGGGATAGAGTGGATTTTCTCTGGGTGCTAAGGTTTCCACCCACATGTAAACACTCACTAATTGGCCAATGACACCTTAATATGTAGAGGACCACAGAGCTTGGGCAATTGTTGGCGCCGGCTCGCTGTGTGGCTGTCTCGCTGTTTGACTGCGGCTTCTAGCACCCCTGCGTTGTATTTTTCTGAGAGTGATCCATCCCAGAGCTACTTATCCCAGTTGCATGTAACCAAGTTGTGCAACTGATCGCTCAGGTGGGGGCCGACCTTTAGACAAAAAAAACAGAATACACACGAGGGGTGTTTAACGATGCACCAATTCATATCTATTCTTAAGCTAACGATGCATGCTTCGAATCGTGATTGCGTGAATTAGATTAATCGCTGTTGTAAATGGGTTCACGTAAACCCACAGAGGAGATAATATTCACCACAAAGTAAAAATATAATAGATTCCTGGATTTAATTGTGATGCGAAGTCATAAAATTCACTAATTTGCCATGGGATGAATTAGTTACATCACTATTACAGACATGTGTGTGTGTGAACAAAGGAACATATTCCCCATGTAGCTTTAACAGACTGTTGGGGCAAGTGCTGATAGCGACCACCTATAAAGGCCAGAAGGGCACACGATGGGGTGGTGTAGTTAGAACCATGCCCAACTGCCTTTTGCTGATGTTTACTGATGCTTACACATCGCACCAAGTATTAATTTGAGGCTGAGCCAACCTAGGTGAGGCCCAGGGACCGGCTCAGATATTCATCACTGTTATTAGTCGAGAGCGGGAATCGAATTCGGGCCGCTGTGTTCATAGCGCATTGTGCCAACCAGTGCACAGAAAACACATCCGCAAAAGACAGCACAATAATTGTGCATTGTAGACCGTAGAGTGTGCATATCAAACGAGTTGTGTGTAGCTCCATGTGAGACACCTGCCCGAAAAAAAAGAAATACATCTATGAATGTAACAAATGAGGGAACCTAAATGGACTAATTTTGCCCAGTTTATCATATTAAACGTTTCCATAGGTATTTTTTTTTACCACACGAAATTTAGATTTATGTCAAGCACTGTCAAGTGGGATATTAACATTTATATAGATTCTTCACCTTCAATGTGGCGGAGTGATGTCTAACGAAAGCGTAGACAGGAACAGGATATATGCAAATACACGAAGGGAAATAAGTATGTAGGTACACGGAAACACTGTCCCTTTCTGTGGTTTTTCCAAGAATACTTTATTGAATCTATCAATTTATTCTACATTACACACTCCACAAGTACTGGATAGTGCCTTTAAAATGTGCACTTTCTCACAGATTATTTGCTTAAAAGCATATTTTCAAATGTCAACTTAAAATTGCCTGTGCTGGGTTATCATTGTTTATACATTCACGTATCTTCCCTTTTGAATAATAAAGGTTAAATATGCAATACTTTTAACCAAATGCCATTGAGTAAAAAGGCAATTCTTAATTGTTTAAAGTGTTTGTAAATTTCACTTGTATGTGTGCAATTCCCGTTTATGCAAAAGGCTCAAGTCGATGTTATTTTGCATATTCGAATAACAAACACGTCCTGAATGCAACTCACAATCCGCGAACCAAATAAAAGATAACTGAAAACTTGTTAGCTGTTAGGGACGCAAAAAAAACTGAGTGTGATAAATACCAGAGTTAAATATGTGCGTTATTCTTTATGAGTCATTGGTATTTTACTACAAGCAAGTGTGAAAATGAGGTTGTACTTTGCATCATCACAAATCCAACAGGAGTGACTGGAGGCGTGGTACAGTGGTGTCAAGAGTAAAGTGAACCTCGAAGCAAGTAACTTGTGAACGGTTAAACTGTGTTACGGCGGGGCTTGCAAAACATCGTGCATTCTGAGTGAATGTGCATTCTGCTGCTATGCACTAAGACTGTGGAACGCTACCCCTACCTATATCTAGAAATTGTGAAGATTATTACTTTTAAATCAAGCTTGAAAACCTTTTTTTTACTAATAGGCTCTTCCTGTAGTTTGATTTTCACCTGGACGAGCGTAATTATTATTATTGGCTTTATCATAGTTTCTTCTTCAACGTATCTTTATTATTATAATATTTTTAAAATTATTTCCATTGGATTGTATCTGCTTGTGAGTGTATTTTTTTACGTACAGTGCTTTGAGATATTCCGATATGAAAGGCCCTTTATAAAATAAAGATTGCAATTATAAAGACAACCCTCGAATTAGTATGAAGCAATACTCCAACACATCTGTTGCTTATAACTTAAGGAGTACCTCACGGATGGGATCAAAGTCACAAGGCAGGCATTGGCTTATTTTTTGTGGAGAAATTATCAGAGGATCGAATTTCACTGACTGTATCAGCTGGAAAATATGGCGTTTCCCTGAATTTTGGGCCACTATTCCGCATTAACTTCAAACAACTTTTTTTACGCTGAGTGGAAGATAATTTTCTACATATGTGTGTACAACATATGTATGTACAACACAGAGAACTGCAGAAGAAAACAACTGAATTAAAACCTGGAAACATGAGTCATTTTTCTTTTTCCCATGACCAGCATTATTTGCAGTTAGACCTTATGGAAGATTACACTTTTCTGAGCCAAGTATATAATTTCATGAATCTTGTGTAGGAGTAAAGATGTTAAAGCCAATTGTCAATCACGTGCTGGATGAAGGACTCCCCATGCCAGGTCAGTCATAAGGGGCTCTTTAACTAGACTTCAGTGTGGGTTGGTGAAATGCTGTTAGTCATGGCCGAAGATTGAACTGAAGTCTCTGGGTACATAAGGTCAGGGCAAAAAAACAAAACCACTGCTTCACCCACAATCTTACGTAATCTTTTTTTTGAGCTGATATTTAACAAAATGAATTCTAATGAAAAACGTGTCCAGGAATATCACTATTTTGATCCAACCCAAATGTAAACTTTGTAAAATGATCTTGTACGTGTTTTTAGTATGTTATGCCTCCAATGGTCTTGCCAAAGCTAATGCAGAGGGCTCTTCATACATGGTTGGGGACACTTTAATAAAATGTATCAGAAGGGACAGGTGCGAGGAGAGTGGTGGCTTCCTAGAAGTTAGTCGATTAACTCTTAATATAATTGAGCTGTTACCGGGGAGGATAAAGTGTTTCAGGTCATATGGAACAATTAATATATCATTTAAGTAATAACTATCCGGGGTTATCTTTTGTATAGCAGCCTCACTGATTTCTGACCCTCTTACTTTATTTTCAATAGGTGATCTAAATTTTGTGAGTAACCGCTCTGTATTGGTGGGAAATATGCAGGGGATTTGAAATAAAAAAGTTGCTATAATTCCTCATTATTTTAGTGGCCTATCTATGGCTATACCTCTCGGGTCAGACCAAATAAACGTGATCAGCATTCGTGTGGCCCCTAACACAGGGGTTCTCAACCGGAAGTCCCAGATATACATATTTTTGTAGTGCCGAATGCTCCCAACTGTTCCTGGACAGGTGGACAACATGTATACGGGTGTCAATAGAGAGGCATTCCACACTGGCGTCGTTAGCGTCTCTTAAACAGGTCAAGTGACAGTGGCCCCAACAGCCCTTAATTCAACAGGAAAGATCTTGTGTTCCATTGTCCACTGCAACTAAATGAGAGACTAAACATGTTCTTGGTATGCTGAGATATATATATTATTGCCAAACATTTTCCAACACGATCTCAATCAATTAAATGATGTGCACTTCTACTGGCAGAAATTCAGTTTTTATTCCTGAATTTTTGGCGGCCACTGCAGAGTGCAGACTTCTTACTGAGTGTGAATCACCACGTGGGCTGCTTATACCACTGGCAATGGAGGGATGAGCTAAATTAACGTGAACCAGAACTTGAACTCCTGCCCACATGGAAAAAAGGATACTGCTATGATATGAGTCATCAAAGCCATCTTATATGAATACGTTATGCTAGAATGGCAAATATTAGTTTTATTATTGTTACAACTCTTCCATTCTGCCATTCCAAGTGTGTTGTATGGCTTCTTCATTAAAACAGTAATTACCTCAAGAGAATCATCGGCAATTTATTTACGTAACGGAGTATTTGACTCGCCTTTATTTGTAAGTGTGTGAAGTTGGCTGCTCAGTGTGCTCGTGTGCGGAGGACGGCAGCGCATCAGGCGGACGAGTGTGGGTAGCGCCAGCGCAGGATGGCGCCATCGGTACTGACACTCAAGATGTGCCAGCGGTTGGGGCAGACGCACAGACGAGTCACGTTGCCGCTATGCCCCTTGCCAACGAACGTCACGTCCCCATCGTTGTAGCTCCACACTTTGATGAGCTTGTCATCACCACCTTTGAGTACAAAATCCTCGTGTTAAGATTAGTTTACACTCATTTACATATTCAGCCCTACGGCCAATAAATGCCATTTCGCTCTGAACAACTGTCGCACATTTTTTGCTTTTAGCACTCGGGACAGAGTTAATTTTTTTGCCCATTCGAGACTGCAAAGCTACATGTCTTGTTCCGTTAATGATCTGTCAGTGATGCGAATATACTAAAGAAAAAACTTTTTAAAATTCCGAGCAGGACACGCCTGATAGTTTCAGATAATATTGGGGTTTTTCTCGGTAAACAGAGCGTTATTATCATTATTACTTCATCTGGCCAGGTGGCACAGTGACTATAATGCATGGCTCAAAATGGGAAATCCTAATTAGGCTCTCATAAATCTTGACTTAAAGCTTTCGTGACTGCAGGAATTCATATTCTTTGGGTCTTTCGAAAAAGTCACGTAGATTAAAAAAAATGATGAAATAAACGAAAAAAACTACGACGTTTCGATCACAACACAAGCGATCGTCATCAGGTGGAAAAAAAACACTAACCTGTGTCTGCGGCAGTAGTTACATTGGGGAAACTAAGCAACGTGTCTCGGACCGTGTTCGTGAGCAGAAGGCAGATTTGAAACACACGAAATATATTTCTCTAAGACAAAGGTACTCTCCAAGCCCACTGGCTATCAACAAAGATCCATTCATGAAGCCATCCATATATACAGACACAAACACAATTTCAACCGAGAGGATGGCTACAAACTCAGCAATCATTGGACGGACGTAATCAACCAGTTTAAGTCATAACTGGCTGTGATGTTTCCACCTTAGTCATATTCCGCCCCTGCATTGGCCATACCACAAGTGGTGAATTTCTCCACGTCTCATGTGGCGCCCGATTTCACATTAACATAACCATTGTGCTTGCGCAGGTTCCAGGGCACTTGTGCCCTGCTCATGTCGTACTGATACTAGAACGCCTGGGCTACGCCCATTTTAAACCTTTAAAACAGCTTGCCTTTTAGTGTTTCTGCCCCCTTTTTCCTCCTGATGATGATCGCTTGTGTTGCGATCGAAAAGCCGTAGTTTTTCCGTTTATTTAATTATTTAAAAAAAAAAAAAACTATCTCCGTGACTTTACGGAAAAAGACCCAAACAACAGGCTCTCATACTTTTTGGGGTCAATAAAATAAGCACCATTTTGTGGGAAAGTAACCAATGTTTGTTCCCTTTGCATAAGATCTACCTCCCACAGCGGAGATGTGGAATTTCACCTGCTGGCTCAGAGATGTAAACAAGAGATGAGCGCCACCCCGATTTCTCTGTTTTTCTGCCGTCCTCACACTCTGGAACCTTCTTCCCTGGACCATCTGTGCTCTTGACTTCCTCTTTTGCTCTGCCTATGACTCGTTCTCTGTGCAAAGTAAGTCAATAAATAGGCCTCGTATCTGCAGGGTGCCCATCTACCACTGTTCCGAACAGCTCCTCATGAGACTGTGGTCACATTCAGTTGCTATATACATCCAAATGTTATCGTATTGGATTGTATGTTTTGTACATGTTGAACTTCTTTTGCATCATACATAACCAACCATGCTAAGCAGAGGTGCAGGATTGTGTGTGTGTGTGATTAACCACTTTGCTTTATCACAATCTATGGTCTCTGTTACACAATTTTCAGAATGTACTCTTGTCAACTTCCGCAACAGTTGTTAACCCTGCACATAACTATTACATAAGCATCCCAGTGCTGGGCAAAACAGACTTGTGGTTTTATTGTTGCACTTCTTGGTTTCTGGAGTAACATCACCAAATTGCTACGTGAAATTACGTATTTAGTTCACAAGAATGCACGAGATTGAGACCCATGACTCCGTACTTAATTACACAACTAACATCAATGACCTGGTTAAGTCAGTCACTTTAATGAATTAATTTGTAAATTGCATATTGGAGATAAATAATATGGTCTGTGCCGAGAGTCATTCGACCAAAGTTATCCTAACCTCAGTGCATGAAAAGTTTGCAGTAAAGTACCAAATATTATTTTATGAAGACCACATGACCTAGTTTATTTTTGTGAGGGTTTGTTAACAAGCCATTTTCAATTCATCACAACCTATTTGTAAATTTTGATTTAAAGCTTTCGTGACTGCAGTAATTCATATTCTTAGCTCTTTCGGTAAAGTCACGTTGAAGGGAAACAATAAAATAATAAAATATATATAAAACAATAAAAATTCTCACGACGTTTCGACCATAACACAAACGGTCGTCATCAGGTGTGAAAAGCACCGGCAAGAAACATTTGAAATAAGTGGCGGTTAGCATTTATAAATTTATTTATTTCAAAAACGGCGTATTTTTTTATTTAAAAAATCCTGCGTCCTTTGACTGGAAAAACCACCTCTGCGGTACAAAATTCTACTCACCTAGTATCGACAATCAAGGGTATTTCCCTGTCCCCAGACGACCTGCTTGGCAGTTTTGATGTAGTTTCCTTATTCATCAAAGTTCCTGTACCTGACACCATCGCAATCATTGAAGACTTGGTTCATCAAGGACTAAACACTGAAACACCCCCCCGGTGAGACACTGCTTAACCAATACATACTTCACTTGGAATGGAACTTTCTACAAACAAACTGAGGGCACCCCAATGGGCTCCCCCTTATCTCCGGTTATAGCTAACATTTTCATGGAGAAATTTGAGACTGACGCCATCCAGACTGCCACTCTGCGCCCTTATGGAAGAGGTACGTGGATGACACTTTTGTCATCTGGCCACATGGCCGGCCTGCTCTAGAGCAATTCTTCGACCACATCAATTCCATACACCCAGCCATCAGATTTACCATGGAAGTCGAAAAAGATGGCAAGCTACCTTTTTGGATGTCCTAATAAAAAAGAGACCTGATGGTTCAATGCGCCACTCTGTCTACAGGAAAGCTACCCATACGGATGCTTATCTGAAACCGGATTCCCACCACCATCCATCACAGAAGAATATCAAGACTCTGTACCATAGAGCCCAATGCATATCCGACCAGGAACACATAGGCAGTGAACTCAAGCACGTACACCTAGCTCTTAAGGCTAATGGTTACTCCAACTATACAATCTGCAAAGCTATCACTCAAACCATGAAGAAGGACCCTCTTGAGGAGCCTTTCAAAACCATCACTTTACCCTACATTGCGGGGATCACAAAAAAGATCTTCAAAATCTTGAATAAACACAAGATCCAGGTCCGTTTCAACACATTACATAAAATCCGTGATCTGGTTCCATCTGTAAAAGATGTGATTCCGGACATACAGTACCCTGGTGTCTACAAACTAAATTGCCTCTGTGGTAGTAGTTACATTGGAGAAACCAAACGCCATGTCTCAGACCGCATTCGTGAACACAAAGCAGACCTTAAACACGGTAGAATCAACACCTCGGCCATGGCAGATCATTGTTATAATTCAGTAGGCTCACATGACATTGACTTCTCCAAGACAGAGATTCTTTGTAAGCCATTTGGCTACCATGAGAGATTCGTTCATGAGGCTATCCACATATACAAGCACAGAGACAATTTCAACCGAGAAGATGGATTCTGGCTTAGCAATCATTGTAAGGATTTGATAAACTATTTCAGGTCTTAATTGATTGTTCACGTTTACGGTGGCTTTCAGACAGCATACATTAATTTTTTCGTCTCCCCCCTCCTCTTTTCAGAACATAGATGGACTCATCCTTCTAAACAAACTGCCAAATCGCTGCTCGTGGTGCCAACGTTTTGTTTTTAAATAAGTAAATACACCGTTTTAAAATAAATAAATTAATGCGAACCGCCACTTCTTTCAAATGTTTCCTGCCGTTGCTTTTAACACCTGATGACGACCGTTTGTGTTATGGTCGAAACGTCGTGATAATTTTTATTGTTTTATATATATTTCATTATTTTATTGTGTCCCTTCAACGTGACTTTACCGAAAGAGCTAAGAATATGAACCTATTTGTACATTACAATTTAAGACTGATAATAACCCCGAGGCTCTCTACACATGCATTTCAACACAAAATCCAATTTCATAAAGGACTCACATCACATACGGCAATGGAAATGTGTTCACCATTATATCATTAAAAAAGTGCAAAGTGATTCGATAGGTTCAACCTATCTACGTGACTTTACTGAAAGACACAAATAATATGAATTCCTGCAGTCACAAAAGCTTTAAGTCAATATTTGATCTCTGTATACTTTAGGGGAACCGGAATGAGAAGTGTTTATTGGATTTATGATGGCGGTCGTGGTCATAGCCAAAAATGTAGTGGAAATAGAGTTGGTATGTGTAAATATTATAGCCGTAACAGTATTCGTTGATATAAATGATTGTTACTATTAATACTTTTTTAAAAGGCACACAGACCCAACAAAGGGCTTCAATAAATAAGCAATGTTTTCTTAAGATTCCCCTACAATAAATATTTTGTAGCTTATATAAATATATAAAAAGTTACAATATAACCAGTGGCATGCGCAATGGTCTACGTTTAAGCATGTGTCTGCTGCTCCAGAGAATGGATGCGATGTCGTGCTTGTAGTGCTAGAGCAGGGAACACTCTACCTGTTACAAAGTACTCTCCGTCAGGTGACACATCCATGCCGTTGATGGATCCAGACTGCGAGGCCTCCAGCTCGCGGATGAGGGATCCATCAAAAACCTCCCAGAACCCGATCTATGAAGCGTGCAGGCACGCCAGACAACAAAGTGCGACACGTCACAGACCAAAAAGGCACTTGCAAACCCATTTCACGTTCCCCTACATTCCCTCCATTAGAGCGGAGTTGTTTCGTGTTATCATTGGATGGAGATGTTCTGAATAGTTTACGTGACCATCGTAGACATGTTGTGCAGGAAAGGTTTAATGAACACGTACTGATGGAAATTAAGAGATGAAAAGCAATATCAATCTCTAGGTGCCCCACATTTCCTTGGTCAAGCAACCGCTGGCAGTATAGACTCTACTAGAGTGAGCTCTCGAGCGCCTCTCTGCGACATCAATAAAATATTACAACATTTTAGTTATATGCAAAATGTAATGGTAATTATAATAGGTAGTAAATAATTTGTAAAATAATATGAGACTGAATAGCCTAGTGATCCAGTGGTAAGCATGCTTGTCACTTCAGTTTTCACTCATATGTTGTTCAATTCTTACGGATGCTCATACATTTCTATGAGGAATTACCAAAGTACAAAACCTGACGTTACATATATTGCACTTGTGAGCGAGTGTGATAAAATCCAATTCCAATTCCCAAATCTTTACATTGGTGTTATTTTTCGTTGAGTTTACAGGCCATTTAAATGGCTTGCCTACATCAGTAAGCTGATCCAACAGTTACGGTTAGGACCCGTGTAGGTTTGTGTGCGTGCTCTTTGACCTGTTGGCCGTGTGCCGTGCCAGCCTTCATAGGTTCTCGCTAACAGCATTTGCTCCAACAGTCTGTTAAGGCTAAGAAGGGGATCTTTCCCTTGAATCTACACATGCCTGGAGTTTGACACATGACGGTGTGGTAATTCTATACAGTACTTCCTAATTTGTCTTACCAAGGAAGTTGGTGTCATCTTGGTCTATAGCCCACAATAAAGGCTGATGTCTGTACGTATACCCCCTACTATGTGTGTCCACTCATGGTTTGTTGGTGGTCCCCTCCAGCGTGACACGTGTCCTGGCTGTATAACACATAGTGTTGCATCGCCATAACTATTGCCACACTGTCCAATAGACATACATGTGTGCAAGTGCACAGTTAGTTTCTCCTCTCATGCAAATAAAGCACATTCACAGGTATATATTTTCATTTGAACCAGGATGCTCCTCATATGTGGAACAAGATAACGTTTGTCTTACATTTTATAACTATCCTTCCCCAGTTGATATACCATGAGTTATTGGATTCACTGCTTGGAAAACGAATGAATTAAAGTGTTTTTGGGTAACACATAATTTTCCAAATGATCAATTTTGCACCCTGATAGCGCCCGATTGACAGAGTTTCTTTGTCAGGTGTTTATAGAATTCTGTAAATAACTGTAAATACCGCAAATCACAAATATGAAAACAAATGCCATTTGGCTTTTTTTCAAGAACAATTATAGGCTCAATTGGTCACGTTGTACATGGACATTTTAAGTCTTTTTAATTTCTGGGAAATGTGACGAGGAGCTAAGAGGGTCACATGTTAAAAGCCAATCGTCTTACTGCGGTGAATTTCTTCCCTTGTGTTCAACACCCATCAAATTCAATGCCACATTACAGGATGTGTTCGTTTCACTGTAATGTTAAATGCTGCGCAAGCGTGAAGCCACTTTTCGTCACGAATTTTGTTTTTGCAGCATTCCAGGTTCATTGTTATCTTCACATTTGCATTGTTCACATTGTGATTACTACCGTTGATTAGCCATGAAGCCTCAATTCGTCTTGTTCGTTCGTTTCTCAATCCGCTTGTCCTGGTGAGGGTCCCAGCAGCAGCGTGTTGAGTAGGGCGATCCAGACCTCCCTTTCCGCTGGCGACAGACTCTTAAATCTTCCTGGGGATTTCCCAGGCGTTCCCAGGCCAGCCAAGCGATATTGTCCCGCAAGTGTGTCCTGGGCCAGCCCCGGGGTCTTTGCCCAGTGGGACATGCCCGGGAGAGTTCCAGGGAGAGTCTATCGGGGGGCATGCTCACACGGCACCTGAATCACCTCAACTGGCTCCTCTCGATCTGGAGGAGCAGCGGCTCGACTCTGAAGCTGTCCTGGATTACCGAGCTCCTCACCCGATCACGGAGAGTGAGCCCGGCAACCCTGCGGAGGAACCTCATTTCGGCCCCTTGTATCCGCGATCTCATTCTTTCAGCCATTACCCAAAGCTCATGACCATAGATGAGGGTGTCTCAAGACTCTTTATCAGGAGGCTCCTGTCAGGTTTTCACAATTGGAAGCAATGGTCCCCGTGTATAAAATTGAGTAATTTCTGCACTGGGATGTTTGGGCAATACCAGTTGCATTGGATGTTTTTGTTACATATGGAAGTATTTTATCTCCCATTCCTGTGCTATCTTGTTTCTCAATATGTTGTGTTATTTTCCGACTGTGGTATTGGAACTAAAGCAGCGAGAAAAGCAATTGGACAACAGATCAATGTGTGGAATGCTGAAGGAATTGCCCCAAGAACATTTTGTGTTCCATATGTCCAAGTGGCTCTGAATGCTCTGAAGGCAAGATATTTATTTAATCTGTCATGTGTTTAATCAACGGTTTGTTCTGTAATTATCAACTGATATAAAGCTGATAAACAGAGTGCATTTAAAGTTGTTTTAAGCAAAAAACTAAATTACTATGTTGTGTTTTGCTTAGACCACTTGCTGGCCACCAGAGACTCAAACCCACAATGCCATTGGTGCTGACTCATAATTTTCTCACACATCAGTCCCTTGAGCCACCCAGTCACCATTTTCATTTACTGTTTCGATTTGGAACAGTATTATTAAAAAATATATATTTTCACCTACGTGACTTTACCCAATAGAACCAAAGAGTATGGATCCTAGCAGTCACGAAAGCTTTAAAGCTAGAACTGTATTATTGTTATTGGAACTTCGTGGCTAATATATATCGCCTTTCTAGAATGCATGTTGTGCAAGTTTTGTGATGCTTTTGGAATGGAATGGAAATGCGTGGCACAAACGTGCCCTCCTCTGTCCAGAGGGCTGGCAGTGTGTAGCGCCTCCCTCCACTCATCACTGTCCTCAACTAGTGTCACTGCATTGTGAATCTGCATTTTTATAATGATGATGATGTGGAATGATGATGGTGAAGAAGATGATGACATTTTGTCAAGTTTCTTTTGTAACGATGACCTTTTGGCAACTTTGTGTGAACACGAGCGACGTGCACATACCTTTCGGTCCGTGCCGCTGGTAATGATCTGGAATTCCTCTGGATGGTAGCATGCGCACTTAAACAAAGTGTTGGCCATCACGATTTGCTTCCTTACAAATCGCCTGCAATACACACAGACAAATAATACATGTATGAAGCATACCACCAATGTCGTCAGTTCTGAGAAATACCACAAAAAATGCCTCTATTTGAAGTTACTTAAAGCGTTTTAGATATCCACTTGTAGGAATGTCCTGAATTCCATGCACTTGTCAGATGGCAAAAACCCATAGGCGGAGTTTGACTTATATATTTGGAGTAGGGGGGAGATTCGCTTTGCCCCTCACATTAGGAATCGTGGGTGCATATAATTAATGAATTTGAGTTTTTTCTTAATTGTAAACTACTGAAAATACATTATTAAAGGTGCCCCGTTTGGGTGGGGTGTCGCCCCCCCCGTGCCCCCTCACAATCTCCACCCAATATTACAATGCCATGCCACATACAAGCCGGGGAACAAAGGATGCCAGTGCACATCGTCGATGCACTGTGTTGAATTTTGAGGGATGACCTCGGTGGGAAATATTTTTGCAAATTAAGAAAAAATCCGCACAGAATTGATGCAGCTCAGAAATTATTATGGGCCCGCTTATTGAATCCCTTAACCATGATAGAATGCTGGCCCTCGTTCAACGTGGCAGCAGGTGTATTGAAAATAAGGGAAAATGAAAAATAGCCCCAATGTACGTGACAGTCTCATGAATATCAAACATTTTGTATTAGTGCACTAAAAAGTTACTGAGATAAAAACTAAATACAATGCATTATTTTGGAATTTTATATTCAAAGGTACAGTTTCAATTTATATCAGTGTTCGCTCATCCATGTTCCCATCATACTGCCTGTAGCAGCTAAACACAATGTGACTTGTGCAACAAAAACAAATAGACAATTTGCTAAAATAGCCAAAAAAGAAATACAAATTCAAAGAGTTCCCAAAAAATAATTCAAATTCAAAAAGTTCCCAAAATAAATCTCTGAAATATTAATATTCATTTAATCATACCTTTGTTCATGAAAAATCGCAATTTCACATGAAAGTTTGAATATAAATGTTAAAAATGTACGTATTGCATTCATTGTAATTTTCTGTATCATATTATAATGCTGTAAAATGCTTGGATGGGAGACCAACATGAACAGCAGGTCGTTTTAGGTTGTGGGGTTAGATGGTGAGTAGCAGAGGGCAGTGGAGCAAATACATTAATGCACTTCCTTCGAAGCTCCCATGCTGTTTCCTTTACCAACTTGCACTCACCAGCGTGGTAGTGTGCCACATTAGGAATGTACCACTCTTTTAATAAGTCCTTATGTGCTGTACAGTACATCAATGTACGTGTGTACACCAGCATGTGATGACTGAGTTGGGCCTTGTGGGGGGGGGGGGGGGCTGGCAGGGTTGATGATGAACCGGACGTGTACACCAGTCACGTGGTTAATGGCGACTCGGTGAAGATTGCTGTGTGTGGCACACGTGCTGTTGCATTCTATAGATTAACCACAATGTGTTTGCCCTCGATTTGGAGCACCTGCCAAACGTCCTTAATTTCGAGTGTGCAACAGTAAAGTAGGGTCACATAACCTCCACAACCTGCATGGTGTGGAGAGGCCCTCACCCATCAGCTGATTGACATGATTGGCAAGTGGATTTACATCTAATAAACAACCCAGAGCTCTAGTCGTATACATTAAGGGAGCATAGGCTCCTATTGGCGTATTTTTAGGCTATGCCGTGTATTTATTAATCTACATTCGCACACTTGAGGGGCAGAGGGTATTATTAAAAAAATATGAGTGTGTGCTAAATACTTAAATATGCCCTGCATATGCCCTTACTTACAATCCTAAAAATACATGATGTATGTTGACTTCATGCATTTCCTGTGTTTTTTATCTTTAAAATCCTATTTACCAATGGATCTTTGACTCTGATTAATATATATGTCCTAAGTTTGTGCGCTTTCCTTAGATTGTATGTAAATGAAACATATGCACATACATTGGTAAAATATCTTTGCTCTAAGCATTTCTGAATCTTGTTTATCTTTGAATTGTTGTATAGACTAGAGCATATAAAAATGCCTGCTCGCACAATGAAAACACAGCTATGAGAATTTCAGTGAAAATAGTCAAAGTGAGTTCTTGATTAAATGAGAATTGAGCGACTGCTCATCTGTCATTTACAGCCCTGAGCCAATGGTGAACACTCCACTTTCCTTTGGTGGGAGTGGGTCTGTACATAGGACAGCCATTGTTGATATTCCCACAAAGCGGCACTAATTTTACCGACTCTAAAGGGATTGATGGGCTGAGCTAACCCCCCCCCCCCACCAATCGGGATTTCAACTCACGATCTTCTGATTGCGAGCTGTTCGCTCTGCCGCTGAGCCAACAGGCAAGCGAGTGAAGCCGTAAACAATACAATTACGTAATTCTGATGTCCTTGGTTTATTTTGGCAAAAGGTTTGATTTAGATATATATAAGGTTTGATTTAAACATATATAAATGTACAGTGAGCTAATGAGCTTAAGATATAATCTTCAATCATGTCCAGCTGAATCTGTGTTTGTTGTTACATCAGGATATTTAAATAACACTACGTGAATCATTCATATAATTATATAATTGTTGTAAAAAAAATATTGCTTTTGTTCATAGGAACAATTTGTGTCTGGCAGTTGTGTTTCACAAGAACAACAGGGACTGAATCCGGCTGTACAAAGTTTGGTAATGCACTGCCTTACCAATACTTACTTCACCTGGAATGGTACATTCTACAAACAAAATGAAGGTACCCCAATGGGTTCTCCCTTATTGCCAATAGTAGCAAATGTTTTCATGGAGAAATTTGAGACAGATGCCATCCAGACATCCACCCTCCGTCCTTCCTTGTGGAAAAGATACGTAGATGACACGTTCGTCATCTGGCCACATGGCCAGACAGCACTGGACCAATTTTTAAACCACATCAATTCCATACACCCATCCAACAAATTCACCATGGAAGTAGAAATTATGGCAAGCTACCATTCCTGGATGTTTTGATCGAGAAGAGACCTGATGGCTCGTTGGGACATTCTGTCCACAGGAAAGCCACCAACACGGATTCCTATCTAAAGCCTGATTCCCACCACCATCCAGCCCAGAAGAACTCCCTCATCAAAACACTACACTATAGGGCATGCTGCATCTCCGACCAGCAACACCTAGCCAGTGAGCTGGAGCACGTACACCAAGCCCTCAAGATGAATGGATATTCAAATCGCACAATCCGCAAAGCTGTAACCCCAACCATGGGGAAAGAACCATCTGAGGACCAAATCAAAACCATCACCTTGCCATACATAGCAGGGGTTACCAAAATGATTTCCAAAATCTTGAACAAACACAAGATCCAGGTTCGATTCCACACAGTACACAAAATCCGTGATTTGATCCCATCTGTGAAGGATGTGATTCCTGACATGCAATACCCTGGTGTCTACAGACTAAGTTGTGTCTGTGGTAGCAGTTACATCGAGGAAACGAAAGGACATGTCTCGGACCGTGTGCGCAAACACAAGGCAGATTTGAAACAAGGCAGAACCAATACCTCTGCTGTGGCTGATCACTGTTTTAACGCGGTCGGTTCACACGATATAGTGTTTTTCCGAGACCAAGGTACTCTGCAAACCTTTGGGCTACCATCAAAGATTTGTCCATGAAGCCATCCAGATATATGAACACAGACACAATTTCAACCGAGAAGATGGCTACAAACTGAGCAATCATTGGAAGGATGTTATTAACCAGGTAAAGTCATATCTTGCTGTGATGTTTCCATCCTTCCTGCCGTTGTTTAGCAGTTATTTCCAACTCTCTGAATTACATCACCTTGTTAAATGTATGTACATTAACAGAATAAGGTCTCACTAACATAGCCACCGCTGCTCCCTTTTGCCTCGATGTAACGGTAGCTCTCGCTGTTTTATAGGCTGTATGTCTCACTGGCACGGCCACCGTTACGGTGGTTCTCTTGCGTTAATACGCTGGCCTCTCACTGTGCAGCAGCCAATGCCGCAGCTTGTGTTTCCCACTAGGTGGCGCTATGCCCTGTCCTCTGATACATGCTATCTTCCCATTAAACTCGTTTAGATTGACATGTCAATCTCTTCCATTAACGCAGCTGTTGTGCGTGCGTGCGGCGACGGGACTCCTTTCCATCTCTGACCTCGCCTACTTACCCTTGGGTGACACTCACCTCAAACCTCTATATAACCTCTTGTTGCAGCAGCCCTTTCTTGTTCAGAAGTTCTACTGCTGTATCTTTCCACCTTATGATGATTGCTTGTGTTGCGATCGAAACGTCGTGATTTTTTTTCCTACCTACGTGACTTTACCAAAAGAACCAACGAGTATGGATTCCTGCAGTCGCGAAAACTTGAAATCAAGATTGAACAATGTGAAACTTTGAAGTGTTTTCTGTGAATATTGTATAACACAGAAACATAGAATCAGATGGTGAGATGTATGACAGTGACAATACAAAGTACACTTTGTGGGGGAAAAAATGCTTGTGTACAACAGCCACTTACTTGAACTCTTGTTTATAAATACAGAAATTACAATTTGTAAGGACAGAGGCATGAGTGTCGATCGTGAGAGGAAACTAAACATGCTCTTTTCACTGTAAAATGCTCCTTTCACTGTAAAATGCTAATTTTCGAATTTTAGTTGCATAACTTTACTTTGGAAATGTATAAAATGGTTTCCAAGAAATGTAATTAGAAAAAAAAATATTTTTAAAATGTGCTTCATATTAAACAACAAAAGTTCGACCAGCAACATAACTAAAATGTGCTGCTGGGTAAAGGTGATTGTTTTGACCCTACTTGACCGTTAATAGTAAACATCTTCATATATATAATTTGCTATAGCAAATTTGTACATGGAAAACTTTGAAATAAGAGCACTTGCCTCGAGCACATTAAAACCATCCTTTTGGTTTAGGTATGTGGATGACACTTTGGTTGTCTGGCCACATGGTAAAGATACACTTAATGATTTTCTAAATCATCTCAA